CACAGAATTAATGAGACGGCCGTTCACTCCAACGATAATATCAAAAGTATTGATTTCATTGCTGTTAATAAACCGATTAAATAATTAAATTAAAATAAATGTGTTATAAATTATTGTTAAATTAAATGAACAATTAAATAGTATTACGGAATCGACACTGAATTTGTGGTTAATTTTCTCAAAACTAAAAGCCCTTCATTTATAGTGCATTCAGCATCTGCTCCGAAAAGCGTTGCCCACAAATCACTGGTCATTGGTCTGAGCGCTAATCCCAATGATTTCTCCGCACTATATGTGTGTCTCTTCTCGAAAAACAGTTTCATATCGTTTAAAACAACTGTAAAATCAATGAAATAATTAGAGCCTATAATTGCCTCAACTTTTAGTAATTTCTAACCTTTTAAATCTGCGGTACTGATGGCAAAACTGTCCGGAAACTCTTCACTCGATGTGCCGTAATTGATGCCAACCAACTGTCCACTCATGTTAATCAACGGACCGCCAGAGAAACCCATAAACAAGGGATTCGTGTGGTTTACACGAAAACCTGACGGGTCGGGCCAATCGAGGCCTCCACGACCGGCAGCACTGACCACACCATCGCATACACTATAATCAACTAAAGGATTTCCGATAGACATCACGTGTTCGCCATCGTGTGCACTGACCGCGAACTCTAATGGTTTAATGTCGCGTAATTCGGAGCACTCCGAGTGGACGACCGCGATGTCTAACTGCGGACAGCAATATACGACGCGTCCAATACTGTTCGCCTGTAGGCCGCGGCCGTCGACTACACCCCTGCGGTCCGCAATGAATCGCTCGATGTAGAAAAGCGACGACTCTCCCACCACATGACAATTGGTCAGTATATAACCGGTGCGGTCCAGAGCCACACCCGAACCCAACGAAACATTATAATTGCCGTCGGGATAATTGCCGTCTAAATTGAGTACTTTTGCAAACCAATTAGCGTATTGTCTGGAGACCTGATCGATGGTTAGGACACTGCCATCACTCATGTGAGCGCATCTCATCGACAGGTTTGGTCTCATCTGTTGAACATTTGCCACAATTTGTTTGTTTTGATGTATTCTATACTTTCCATACAAATAGTTGGACGAAATTGCGGCCAAAACTACACCAAAACTAATGATATACGTAACCATTGATTAGATTTTTAATGATGTAATTTATAGTTTAATTTGATTTAATACTACCTCTTATTATATTTAATAAGTGAAAACATTGCCGACAATTATATTTCGGATATAAATAATTGGTTTAATTAACAAACATTTAAAATACGCTAATATTAGGGGAAAAACAGAAAAACAAATCAAAAGAGAAAATTCTAAAACTACAACAAATCGTAACTTTCACGAGAAGTTTACTGTTATTAAAATCTTGATAAAAATGTTCAATCGTTGGCTTTTTCAACAAAAATGCAAACTTTATGATTACAGTTAGGCTGATATAGTTTTTGCAAACCGTTTGATTATCGCGCGCAACCATAGTCAATTAAGTGGTCAACATATAAGGTATATACCGTATAAAATGACATTATTTTACCCGTAATACTAATAGAACAGAATAGCTATCTATTTAAACAAATGCTTTTTAAATAAATTATTTTGATATAAGTACACAAATGCAATACAATTCAATGAATCCGTATTTTTAATAGTATAGTTTAATAGTAATGGCATTTTAAATGCCTGACATCTCACTTAAAATATAGTTTAAATTTAGTTAATACATTTTGAAATGGTATTGATATAAGATTTATAATTATCAAAAAAGTTAATAAAATGTGTTTGAATTTAGCTATTATTAGAAATAAAGTTAAATAAGTGGAGAAACAATGGATTGGGGTTTGACTTGAAATT